TGAGAAGTATTTACAATGGCATGCCATTAACATTAATTATTTAGATTTGTTTTATTTAAGTAAAGATTTTTAAATGAAATTCATTTATCATATATTTAGCAAAAGTCTCTACAAAATCTTTCCTTATCTATTTAAGTAAAGATTTTGAAATCAAATATGTTTTCAACAATTTACCAAAAATCTCTACACAATCTTTTTAAAAATCTCGACTTAGTTAAGTTCTGATTTTTATCTGCAAAAAAAAAAAACCTTCTTTGACATCTAAGTATTAGGAATAATGATTTATGGCAACTTAATAAATTATATTAATTTTCTTTTAACTATTAAAATGTTTTCACGGCGGAAGAGAATAATTGAAAAACGGTAAGTATTACCATAAGGAGAAAAATAAAAAATGTTTCAATAATAAAACATAACTGACCTAAAGTTTGAGTAATGGTGGAAGAGAACGTTGGCAGCGACGGCTGCAATTTTCAGTCGACGAGGGATGGCTTCGAGGATCGACAAGAGAAGATGATGGGACGGATTGATGTATAATGTTATGAATGGTTGGAGTCTCCCTTTTCATTGGTCGAAAAAATAATTTCTAATTAGTCGAAATTGGTTTTTTTTCTTAAAAAATCGATTTTCTAAGAGTAAATTGGGATATTTGTATTTGGCTCATTAAAAACAGAGAAATGTGTAGATTTTAGGAGAATGTGAGAAATTGGTTTTTCACATTTAAGAGTTCCTCAAAATTTGACACCTGACAAATAAAGGGATTTTTTTGTTCACCCGAATTATATTAAACTCAACTAAACTTTTGAGCACACAATCGGAGAGAACTCTTTGCTACAGCGTCAGCATTCGATAGATTTGAGAGTGATATCTTCAATGGTGTAACTTTTGTTATTGAAAATATTTTGGTTTCTTGTTGTCCAGAGAATCCATAGAATCCAAGAGGCCAAGGTAACACCTACTAATCCCACTAGTGGTAAACAAACCAGGGTTTTTGCTTTTAAAAATCCAAATCTTGTAACCTGCGTAGAGAAAAAGTCGAAGTCCAATGAGAACGAGGCCAAATTCCATACCTGAGATGCAAATGGGAAAAAGAATAAGACATGAAAGATAGATTTTGGTTCATTACATCGACATCAATCTGTATCCACATCCATATGTTTAGCAGCCAATTGGGTTCCTGTAGCTAGAGCACCAAGTAGTACTTTTCTGAGAAAGGTCTTTAATTTATCTTTGACGCAGTCTTAATATTTCACACTTCTGCTTTCCAATCTATCATCACAGCAGGAGGTCTGTTCTGTTTCATGCACTCCTTATCTCTTGTGATGAAATATCCAGACTTTGTGGAATAGACTCCTTATTGCATTATTGATGAGTAAATATGCATAGTTACATTTACTGAAAATAATTAATTTAATAGCGTTTGTTTTGCTGTCGCATGATAATAAGCTAATATAATTTGATATCATGTTGTTTAAAAAAAGAAAAATGTTTGGCAGCTACACGAAAGAGATGTCATTACATAGCCACACATGCATACTTTAAAAATATCTCGTTAGCTATACGTACATACATCTCTTGAACTAACATAAGTTATGTTGCAAACACTATAACTATCCATTTCAAGTGCTCCAGTTGCCGGAATCCGGCGTTGACCGATATTGACCGACGTTGACCAAAAATTATTTCAAAAAAATGTTTTTGTTTCTTTCTAATTTATTTTTGATATATAATTAAAAATAATAAATTATTACATATTTTTACATAAAATATAAAAATATATACCAAAAATAATATTACCAAAATTTTATAACAAAATATAGCACAAAAAAAATTGTGGTCTATTTTGTGATATATTTAGTTTTTTTTTTTCTGTTTTTGTGGTATATTTACTTATATTACAAAAATATATACCTTAACTAGATCATCACCCGTACTACAGTACGAGTTAAATTTTATTTATTACAAAATTTATATATTATATATTTTAGAATAAATTTGTGATATATTATAATAGTAATTGAAAAAATATAATTTCATTTTTGCCAGTCCATATATATAATATTAGAATGAATATATATATTTTTTAATTATACTCAATTATGGATATATTTTTTTAAGATACGAAAACGAAAAATAAAATTATTTTAATAAATTAATATGGTCTGAACAATGAGTTAATTTATACTAACAACCACAAAATGAGATTGTATATAATTCAATTAGATCAAAAATCAAAATATTATAAATGAATCTCTTTTAAAACGTAGATTATTTTTAATTAATTAAAAAAGTTAGCTATTATTTTGAATTAATTTAGGAAATTCTTTTTTCAATTTCTAATTCTTTGGTTGTTGAAATAGAGATTTGTTTGAGGTAACTACGGAATTTACCAATTATTTGCGTAATCGAATATGTTATGAACATATATTTAGTATATAATATACCAAATTCAACCCGTGCGTGGAGTCTATATTTTTATCTTAGAATCCTAATGAAAATATTGCGTGCATAATCTATTATTCGTTATTTCCAAAATTTCTTGCACAATCAAATTTTCAAATATTTTGTGGTGTCAACCTTATTTAATCTATCTGATCATATAATCTTAACATGCCGTCTATTATAAAGATCATAATTTTATATCATATAATATATTACATTTAACCCTCCGCCTACTATAACTATTTTAAATATACCTTTTTAGAAGATCAAATTAAAGTATTTATAATTTTTTTATCTTTTTAATCTATTAAATATTTATGATATTCATTAAAATATTAAATTAAACTATTTTTAAATGTTCCAAATTAAAATCTTTAAATATATTTTTTGTAGTATATAAAATTATGAATTTCAAAACAAAATTATATGAAATTAAATAGAAATATTCAAACAGTTATAAGGATCATAACTCATTTGTTAATATAATATATTATATTTAACCAACTGCCTATTATAAATATTTGTTTTAAAAAATCAAATTAGAGTATTTATTGATGATATTCTTTAAATATTGATGATATTCTTGAAAAATATCAAGTAAAACTAATTTTATATGTTGCAAATTATAATATTTAAAAATCTTATTGTAGTATATAAAATATTACATTTCATAAAATAAATTTATGAAATTGAATATAAATATTCAAATTCTAACCCGTTACTCAGTCGTAATTTTGTTGAACTTATTTTTGGTTAAAAGAAAAATATTACTCAAATGTGAATTTTAGACCCGTTAAATTTTTTTCTTCATAGATGTAACAATTTATATTCATTTTTAAAAATTAAAATCTTGGCATATGCAGAAAAAATTTACTTTTTTTGTTATATTGATGATATGATGATTTATTTGTTTCATAAAAATAGAATCATATAAAGATGAGAGGTGAAGTATAATGATTAATAACAAATTAATATGGTAAGATATCAGATCTTATATGTTAGTCATTTTTTGCATAAATTAGTATTTGACTTGTTTATCCTTAATGAGCTGAATTAATTTACTCTTTAAATTTTTATCGTAACCGTATTTTGGATCGTAACTGGACCGTTTTTCAACCGTAACTGTATAAAACGGTTAAAAATCATAACCATTCACCGTAAAACTAGATTAGTTATGGTTAAAAAAATATACTAACCGTAACCGTTAATATACAGGAAACGTATCAAAACCGTTATTTAACCGAACGATTAGCCGCACGGTTAACCGTATTATTAACCGCATAATTAAACTTTATAAAATATAATTGTAACTATGTATAATGCAAAAAAAAAAGTCTCGAATGTTCAGATAAAGATTTCCGAAAAAGTAAATAATACAGCCTATGAAAAAATCTCATTAGAAATAATGGTTTTTTTCTCAAATAATTATTTTGGAATATTATATTGCTCAAAATGAAGAAATTTTTTATTTATTATAGGACTAGTAAAATTCATATTATTATTCTAACAATAAAATATTGTTCAGTCTATATAATCTTAATTTTCATATGTAATATATACTAAAGTACATTTCTATGTAATTTTTTTTCTTTCTAAATTCTTAATATTATTTATTATGTGTACCGCTATGATGTTTCTAATCAGAGTAAATTTTTAAAATTTGTTCTGCGTTATTTTTTTGTACAGCTTTCATGTTTTATTCTTTTGTACAGCTTTACACTATTCCCTAACAGCTAACAGCTCCAGCTAACAGCTAACAGCTTATTACCAATCAGACCCAACAAAACATTTTTAAAATCTGCATGTGTGATTATGTGATGACGTCTTTCGTATACTTGCCAAACATTTTCCCAACAAAAGAATTCAACCGTTGGGTTATATAAATCACTGCGACGTATCACACGATATTGCAACATGCAAACGAATAAAATTTTGTTGTAGATTGATTAAAATTGCCATCGATAGACAAACGAATAAAAAATTTCCATCGGTATTGCTCAAGCAAGAACCATGTCTATTTGTTTTTTTTTGGGTACCGTAAGTATAGTATCCGAAAAATGTTGGATTGTTGGTTGGGCATCTATTTGCTAATGATTGTTTCTAATTTAGAATTTAGAATTGAAAAACTAATAATATACAAATTATATCAATAGATAACCTTTGACCATTTTTCTCAACGACTCATAAAAAGATCCAAACTTTGTAAATAATAATACAATTTAATTTTAAATCCCAAAAAAAAAAAAAAAACAAATTATGGGAGTATTTGCCTATTTGGTGTTTCTTTCATCAATGAATGGATCAAAATAAAATACAATTAAATAAACAACGCTAACATTTATGACAACTCTATTATCTCTATCTCTCTCTCTTCAAATACTATAATTCATTGTCCTTTTCATCGAATCCAAGACCTCAAAAAAAACAATTATTAATTTTCAACGATCAAGATCTCAAGAGTCAAATCCAACGGTCAGAAACAAGTGACTCTGGTACTGACACCACCTCTCATAATTCTCGTTAGTAGGACCTCTCTCACTCTCTCTTCTTCCTCTTTCTTCTCTCAACTGTGTCGGATCCGGGTCAAATCCGGGTCGGGTCAGATCGGGTCGGGTCTCTTATAAGAAGAGGAAAACCACTCACTCACTCTCTCTCTTTCACCCCCACGCACTCTTCTTTTTCTCTCTCTGACACATATCTTTTTCTCTCTCTATCTAACCATTTCTTTCTCTCTTTTCTGTTTTTGAAAGCCAAAGTGTCTCTCTTGGACAGTGATGGAACTGCTTCAAGAGATTTAATTTACTTACCCACGAGAGAAGCCAAGCCAAGTTGAAGAGGAAAGATTTGTTCTTTTGTCTTGTTTCTTTCATTTCTCTTCACAAAGATCTCAAAGAGAAGAACTTTTCATTTGGGTTTGCTTTCTCAATGCGTACTTGTACTAGTAGAGCTTGTGTTGTTGTTCATGGTTTGATGATGAGAAGAAACAGATTCTTGATTTGAAGAAATGGGGTTTGTTCTGTTTCTTGTGTTTAAGGGTTTTATGGATGGTTTGATTCAAAGCTTTCACTGAGTCTTATGGTGAGTGAGGATTTTTGGGGTTTGAACAAAGGAGATGGAGAAAGACGAGTTTGTACTTCCGGAGCTAAAGAGTTATAGCTACTGTAGTAGCTGGAAGTGAAGATTAATTTTATAGTTTGTACGGAAAATTAGGGTTTTCAAAAGTTTGGTTTTCAAATCATGAAGCTGTCAACATCTGGATTGGGTCAACAGGGTCATGAAGGTGACTTGTTTTTCTCTGATTTCATAGTTCTGTTTCTTGACAAGTTTTCTTAGTTCTTGTGTCTGTGTTTTCTAACAGGAGAGAAGTGTCTGAATTCTGAGCTATGGCATGCTTGTGCTGGACCATTAGTCTCTCTTCCATCATCTGGTAGTCGAGTTGTTTACTTTCCACAGGGTCACAGTGAACAGGTTCAAGCTTTTCTTTTGTGTTTTAAGATTGGTTTTTTTTTTCTTTGTGTGAAGTATGGAGCTTTATTTTTTTACTCTTGTTTATATTTGGGCATTTCCATTTAAATTGAAGTGTACTTGTAGGTAGCTGCTACAACTAATAAGGAAGTTGATGGTCACATACCCAATTACCCAAGCCTACCACCACAATTGATATGCCAGCTCCATAATGTTACAATGCATGTGCGTAGTTAGTTCCCTGTCCTTTTCCAACTTCAATTTTACTTTTGTAACTAGTTTTGGGATGATGTGCTTTGTAAGTATGGGTTTCGTTTCTACTTTTCAGGCAGATGTCGAGACGGATGAAGTCTATGCTCAAATGACACTTCAGCCATTGACACCGGTAGATACCATAACGGGTTTTTTTTCATTTAGTTGAGTCTGTGAATAAGTAACTTAAAGTTTTAGAATTGGTGTTGTTTATAGGAGGAGCAGAAGGAAACATTTGTACCGATTGAGTTGGGGATCCCGAGCAAGCAACCTAGCAATTATTTCTGTAAGACTCTCACAGCTAGTGATACTAGTACACATGGAGGGTTTTCTGTTCCTAGACGTGCTGCTGAGAAAGTTTTTCCTCCATTGGTATAATACTTTTTCTTTAGCTTACTTGCTATAAATTGTTATTGGCAATATATGTACTCGTTTTGATATCTTGTATCTTCCCTGTTGCAGGATTACACACTGCAGCCACCAGCTCAAGAACTGATTGCAAGGGATCTCCATGATGTTGAATGGAAGTTTAGGCATATCTTTCGGGGTAGGTTTCACCTTTCCTTGGTGTGAGTTGATGATCCCTTTAATAGCATAGATTTGTTCTATCTTGGTTGGTTACTACTTCGATGACATTCTTTTTAACTGTAGTCGCCAGTGTAAAAATGTCAACTGGTTTATTAAGTATGTCCTGAAGCAGCATTCTGCTGTTATTTTCACTACCCTTGTTTGGTTAAGTTATAGAAACTACGGACGCTCTGTGTTCTTGTCGTTGTCTGGAATTATTTACTTGTTCATATTAAGCCAGTTGATTTGAATCCTTCTTCTTGGTCTGAAAGCAATTACTTACATGGATTTGGTGTGATTATGCAGGACAGCCCAAACGGCATCTCCTAACTACTGGATGGAGTGTCTTTGTCAGTGCTAAGCGACTAGTAGCTGGAGATTCTGTCATTTTCATCAGGTTTAGTTCTTTTGTTGTACGTTCACTTTGTAAATTGTGATTATATTTGTAACCTTATTACTTGTTTCCAGGAATGAAAAGAATCAACTCTTTTTGGGAATACGTCATGCCACTCGGCCACAGACTATTGTACCATCATCTGTTTTATCTAGTGATAGCATGCATATTGGACTCCTTGCTGCTGCTGCACATGCTTCTGCAACTAATAGCTGTTTCACTGTTTTCTTTCATCCAAGGTTGGAAAATCTCTCCCACTTGCATCTTTTTTCATCTCTCGGTATATCCGATAATACATCCGGCTAATATTCTCTTCATGTTCAGGGCTAGCCAATCTGAGTTTGTGATACAACTTTCCAAGTACATTAAAGCCGTTTTTCACACGCGTATTTCAGTTGGGATGCGCTTTCGCATGCTCTTCGAGACAGAAGAGTCGAGTGTCCGCAGGTGATGATGCCACATATCTGGACATGCAATGTTGAAACTGAGAAAACTATATCATTATGTTACACATATTACTTTAACATGTTTTCTGACAGAGGCATGGGGAACTTTCCAGGTACATGGGTACTATAACTGGTATCAGTGATCTAGATTCTGTTCGTTGGCCAAACTCTCATTGGCGGTCTGTCAAGGTAATACTATTAAGCCTGTTACCTCATTTAGATTCCATGAAACGCCACAGGTTTCTGATAGTCCAATATTTCACTGAAATTCCATCAACATTGGCATTATTGGTGTAGGTTGGCTGGGATGAATCGACTGCAGGGGAGAGACAGCCAAGGGTTTCTTTATGGGAGATTGAGCCTCTTACTACCTTTCCTATGTATCCATCTCTGTTTCCTCTCAGACTAAAACGTCCATGGCATGCTGGCACATCATCATTACCTGGTATCCACCTTTTGGCTCTTCTCCTAACTGTTATTAACTAGTGTAGCAAGTTCCGGAAGTCTCTTACTGTCACTCAGATATCCAGTTTTTGTTTTGTTAACTTAGTTGCTAGTTCGGATAAATAAGAAATGTATTACGAGCTCTGAAGAGGGTCTTACTGTTATAATTTATTTACAAAGTGTAGTTACTCTTCTTAGCTATTTACTTAAACCATTATGATGTTACAGATGGAAGGGGTGATTTAGGAAGTGGTCTAACATGGCTAAGAGGAGGAGGTGGAGAGCAGCAAGGTTTGCTTCCTCTAAATTATCCATCTGTTGGTTTGTTTCCATGGATGCAACAAAGGCTGGATCTCACTCAAATGGGGACTGATAATAATCAGCAATACCAAGCAATGTTAGCTGCTGGATTGCAGAACATCGGCGGTGGAGATCCTCTTAGACAACAGTTTGTCCAGCTGCAAGAGCCTCACCAACAATATCTTCAACAGTCAGCTTCCCATAATCCTGATTTGATGCTTCAGCAGCAGCAGCATCAACAAGCGCGCCATCTCATGCATGCTCAATCCCAGATTATGAGTGAGAATCTTCCGCAGCAGAATATGCGACAAGAAGTTAGTAACCAACCAGCTGGACAGCAGCAGCTACAGCAAGCGGACCAAAATGCATATCTTAATGCTTTCAAAATGCAAAATGGCCATCTTCAACAGTGGCAGCATTCGGAGATGCCGTCACCTTCATTCATGAAGTCAGATTTTCCTGACTCAAGCAACAAATTTGCAACAACTGCTAGTCCAATGCAACAGAACTCTGCCTCTCCGGCTTCTGGAGATGGCAGCAATCTTTTGAATTTTTCTATAACCGGTCAGTCTGTACTGCCTGAGCAGTTAACAACAGAAGGTTGGTCTCCAAAAGCATCCAACACTTTTTCTGAACCGTTGTCACTTCCACAAGCCTATCCTGGGAAAAGTCTTGCTCTAGAACCTGGAAATCCCTCTCTTTTTGGTGTTGATCCTGACTCTGGACTCTTCCTCCCCAGTACGGTTCCTCGCTTTGCTTCCTCATCAGGAGATGCTGAAGCTTCCCCTATGTCACTAACAGATTCAGGATTTCAGAATTCCTTATTTGGCTGCATGCAAGACACTCATGAGTTATTGCATGGAGCTGGACAGATTAACCCGTCCACCCAAACCAAGAACTTTGTAAAGGTGTGCTGGTTGGTTCTGGGCTCACCAACTTCTCTGTGGCTCTGGTGTCTCTAAGAAAATACTGATATGCTTACAAATCCAAAAATGCAGGTTTATAAATCTGGTTCGGTTGGGCGTTCACTAGACATCTCCCGATTCAGCAGCTATCACGAGCTGCGAGAAGAGTTAGGGAAGATGTTTGCTATCGAAGGGTTGTTGGAAGACCCCCTTAGATCAGGCTGGCAGCTTGTATTCGTTGACAAGGAAAATGATATTCTTCTCCTTGGCGATGACCCGTGGGAGTAAGTAAAGTACTTTTCTTCTATTCATATACATTGATTTAAATTTGTGATAGATCTTGAAAAGCTTGTGGCATGCAGGTCATTTGTGAATAACGTTTGGTACATAAAGATACTATCGCCGGAAGATGTGCAGCAAATGGGAGATCATGGTGAAGGCAGTGGTGGGTCATTCCCGCAAAACCCGACCCATCTCTAGAAGCTGTTTGGGTGTAGATCCTATATCCTGCTACATTGCGGGAGCCTTTGTTTTCGTTTGAAGACACTTCCACTGATCTTTATATGCCATTCGTTCGCATCTCTCTCATTTTGACGTTTTTAGAAAGAAACATAATCATATTTGTGAAGTATGGGTCCTGAAACTTTTGGGCGTACTTTAGCTTGTATTAGACAGACACTCTCGTCATAAACATAAGAACCTTTATTAGTTGTCTCAGGTAACTAAACTTTTCTAGTATTTTGTTCCTCTTCTTCTCGTATAACAACACTTTTTTTTTGGTTGAACTCGTATAACAACACTTGTGAGACCATAAGGTGTGAAACCAAACCAGCCAAATCATTAAAACACAAACCATTAATCACAAATGTTACCATAAATGCAATGACATAGAACACGAAAGACAAAAGAATGTTGGAAAAACTTACATAGAAGAATGACATAAATGAAGTACCAATAATTCATTTTCTCCCTTTCTTTTTGATCCAAAGATTACTTAAACGTGCACACACATCAGACTTGTCAACCTTGAGCAAAGCATCATTCATGGCATCTCTCAATCTCTTATCATCTTTAGCATCATAGAAGCATTTACGTCTCTTCGAGTCCCTTACAAGTTTCGCCCAAATTGAACCACTCCGAGCTAGTGTTGTCTCATTTCCAATCACCCATAAACAGTGTCTAGCTCGAGTGAGCGCCACGTTGGCTCTTTGACGGTTACTGAGAAATCCAACCTTCCTGTTACAGTTACTTCTAACGGTGGAGATGATGATAACATCTTCTTCACCACCTTGAAACCCATCTACCGACCGAACATTCAATGTGAAAAGCTCACCTGATAAGGAACTGTACTTATCTATGATTCTGTCTTGGATTGCTCTCACTTGTCCTTTATAAGGTGTAATCACTCCAACACTCATATTAATCTTTCTTTCACTTGAAACTGTTTCATAATTAAGCAAAATTAATTAAAAAGAACAATGCAACAGCCTAATATATACTGATATAGAATTAAAGATGGAAAGATTATACCTTTGAAAAGATTTGATAGGATTTCAGAAATCACAGCAACTTCAACCATGTTCTTGGGACTATGCCCATCACCAAACTCTTCTTTTCCATGACCTACATTGATAAACGAGAAGGAGCCAAACATGTTTCCTTGAAGATATCGCTTTTCGTAAATGCTTTCTTGAACATTAGCAGCATCTTTGATTCTCCCACCATAGAACTCTTTATTAGGGAAACTAATAATCGAAGGGTGCATTCGATATTGAACATCAAGCAAGTGTTTGCTATGACCAAGTGTAACCAATCTCTCAAACAAGCTTCTTCCGAATTTCGCCTTTTCGCATTCATCGTTATGAACCATTGCAGGTAACTGAAACTCATCTCCTAGTAGAACAGCATGACGCAGTCCCTGAAGTTGCAATGCAGCAACTGATTCACATTCCTTAAGCTGAGCCGCCTCGTCAACCACAAGAAATTCTACATTTCCTGTCCTTTCACCATTCATTTCTGCAGCACCTGAGGCTGTACAGAAGATTATATCCGCGTTTTGTAGACAGAATTTCCTAATATCTTCTTCATTTTCAAACAATTCTGGAACCTTAAATCGTTTCGGTATCAAACTTAAAGCTTGAATGCAATCAACACTGATGATTCTTTTGAAACTTCCCTTCTTGGAATCAAACGTAGAAGAATTCTCTTGCAAGAAATATCTAACACGGTGAAGAGCTTGGCGAGCTTCTATCATTTTCTTCACATCATTAGACGAGATCAAAGACTTAGGCAGATGGGTGCACAAATCAACCATATCTTTCTCCAATCCTTCACTTAAGCCATTAAACTTCTTCTTTACAAACTCTCCAAATGTTGGAATGTTTACAACTTCTTCCTTCTTCTTTTCAGATTCTTCCTTCATGTTTTCAAGTTCTTCCTTCTTCTTTTCAACTTTTTCCTTCTTCTTCTCCTTCTTTTTTAATCCGCGTACATATTCCTTGAACTCGGCCTCTGTGTTTTCAAGAAAATGTATCACTGACTCAAATCTCTGCTTCCATCCATAAGGTGACAAAAACAGTTTCTGAAAACTACTGATGCGATGATCAAGAAACACATTGCGAAGATCATCATCATTTTTGATCCCCATTCTGTTGTGGTTACCAGCTAAAACAATATTCCCCAATCCATAACTAGCATGTTCTGAAGAAGTCTTCGATAAAGCCAATAGCCTCGATGTTACTTCTACAACAGCTGTGTTTGTAGGAGCACACACAACTGTTTTGCACCGTAGTTTGAGAAGGGCAGAGAGAAGAGTCGAAACCATCTTTGTTTTGCCTGTTCCAGGAGGTCCCCATATCAGTTTCACACTGTTCTTATGTTTACTGTTTCTAGTCTCAAGGCAGCTCAAGATTGCAGATTTTTGGGAAGAGTTCAAGTTCGTTGAACGGATTATATCCAAAACATTTTGTCCCAAATTCCTAGACGAAACAGTTTGTTTGATACCCTGAAATATAACAAATTCACAATTGATAAACAAAAACTTTCTGGTGGATCCATGAACTAAAGGGATTACGTTCGAGCTAGACTTGATAGACATCCAGAGACAGTAGTTATATGGTTTGATATGAATCATTTAAAATCAAGAGAAGCAAGACCATTTCTTATATACATACCGCTGTATTTGGCTGAAGAATACTCTGGATGAAATCAAAGTTGGGAGCTTCATGGTGCAAAGCATTCCATATACGATTGTTTGTAGTTGAATTCATGAGGAAAACACCGAAACCAAGTGAAACTTTCTCATCATGGGACATTAATCTAGACAAAATAACAGAGATATTTGGATGCCTTTCTCTTTTTTCGTCCCAGATTTTGGGATGATTATCCACAGAAACATAGGCAAGAAGCAACGGGTTCAAGTCACGGAAACTTCTTGGTTTTGTTTTCGTGAGAGCAATGAGATCTCCACAATGTGGCTGGTACTTTGCATCATTCTCTCCATCCATTAGTTTTAGAGTGTGTAGAAAATTGTTGCAGCTTCCACTGGATTCATGTGTACTTTTCTCCAAGGAACTTATTTTAAAGAGAGGAGCTTTCGATATAGATTTGAAGCTTGAGCATAACGCGGTTCTCATTTCCTCAAGTAGGTGAGGAACAAAACACTTGAAGTATTCATCAGTGGAACTAAACCTGTCTGGTATTGTCTTTATCTGTTACAAAAATAGACTATCCAATTTAAGTACCAAATAAGATGTCATCCAAGGAAAGAAGGGTTAAAAGAAATGAAAAACCTTTTGCTTGTAGAGATCTTTGTTGAGAATATCTTTGATAGACCAAGAAAAGATTCTATCAAGTAGACCTGTTTTCTCCTTTTTGTCCATGATCTTTGAAGTTTACTAACTTTCTTTCTTGCGATATTATGACAAAGAACAAGCCAAAGATTGGTACATAAAAACAAGAGTGAAAAGCCGAGTGAGTTGCTCGGTCTATGTAAGGAAGAAGTCGAAAGGTCTAGCTAGAATTCGAAGAGTTTTTCTTTCTTTTTTTCCTAGTTTCACCAATTTACATAAAATGTCACTTTTTAAAAACAAAAAAAAAAAATGAAAAAATACGAATTGTCTTCTGTATGCTATTAGTCTAATGTTGGTCTCGCTTCTTATTGTTGCTAACCGGGCAGGGGATTAACCGGCCGGTTTATGAGTAAGATGATGGTTCAAGTTCAATGGATCAATTTCTCTCTCAATCAAACTCACTGAAACGAAGTGGTTTATAAGAAAATTTATCTCTAGCGCTTGTCTCTCTATCTATCGTATTGGCTGGTTTCTTCTGCAACTTTTTCCCAGACGTTTCCTAGTTTCTCTACATCCAATTCAAGAACACAACTCTTTCTTTTTACATTCTGGACTCTATTCGATCACTACCAAATTTATAAATTATTATTCCTATTCATTTGCCTAGAAGAATGACATCTTATTATTTTACTTTTTCAAATTCTTCACTTGAAATCTCACTAAGAATGGAAATTATGGAAGCAAACACTTTATGCTTAACCTTAACAATCTCCTTAGCATTCTTACTCATTCTACACAGACAAACTTTTATTGGCAACAAGGAAAGGCTTAACCTTCTAATGGTAATGTGCTGCATAGTGATAGCGTACCTGGTTAACAACAAAACCCTTCATGTTCCTGAAGTCTGCACGCCTTTTTCTGTCCAACCTCTCAACCCCAGATCAGTTGTTTTTCTGCAGTGATAGAAATTTACCCAGAGCACAACCAAAAAATGCATATCATGCTGCTGTTGGTTACATCAGCACAAGTTGTGATATGCGCAGGGTTTTATTACTGAATACCTTGACCCGCTCATACTCTGTGATGGCAACGGTTTTTGCTTCCTCAGATCCTTGATTTGTCACCACCAAATACCTTTGATGATGCACCCTCTGCAAATGCGCCTTGGACAGCCATCATCATGTCAAGGTACTCATGGAGTCTGTCCTGAAATGAACAATTCAAATCAAAGAACAGCTCTTAGGGAAGCTTACAGTCCAGCAAAATCTCCATATATAAGCCGACAGTTCACTAGTCTATAATAAGGATGCACGCTAAGCATGAGGAGATTTTAGAAATCAAAGAAAACAACATTTCATTTGATTCAGAGTAATGATGCAACTGTATGTTTTCGTAGTTCAATAGATATTTACCAAATGTTTGACAGTCTGGGAATTCAACTCTATAAAATCTGCTTGCTTTTACAGCCGCAGTGGCTAAATTCTTGATTTCATTAGCACGAGTTCTTTGGGCGTTGGAAACAGCTTCTTCGTTCTCCAACTTAGTCAGCTTAATAAAAATGCTAATCCTAGTTCATGTCTTGCTGTGCCTTCACGGGATTCTGTCTACAGAAGAATCCGCAAAAAGGTTTGTTCCTAGCAGTATACTAGTATGTACTAACAGAATGATGCATAATTCAAGTAACAAGGATGAAATTTTACCTGTTGTGAGGCATTGATATTTGTTGCTCAACATCATGCATCTTCTCCATCTTTTCCAAAAAATTCTTTATCTTCTTTTACAACTGGTGGTTTATCAGCTCCTTGAATAATCTCAGCATATCCCTACCTCCTCTGGCAGGCTGAACTACCTCATGCACTGGCACGGCAGAGGCTCTGCCGTCACCAAACAACTGTTTCGGAAGCTTCACCACGCCATCCAACATCCTAGAGGCCACATTAGTGCCCATTGGTAGTGGCAACTTCCCTTGCACCTGAAGAAACACTTTCCACTCTTCACTGTTCCTAATAACAGGGTGTGCATATAGCCTGCGCGAGTATTTCTCCAATACAACTCTTCTCTGCTCCAAAAACTCTTGTTTCTGTCAACTCTGAAGAGAGATGGAGACGCAACAGGAGGACCAAGACTGGTTCTTGGGGTTCTAGAGAGTTTCATTGCATCTAGCAAACAATCATACGGTGCAAATCACATCTTTGAAGCACTGAAATTATGGAGCACGGCAGATACAGCATGTAAAACAGCCATGGCGCAAGAAAGAGTCCTCCGTGACTTTCTCCAGAGCTGTGAATCTAAAAGAGAAAGCTACTGGAAACTCTCAAGCAACAAATGTCCCATGTTTGATCTTTAATCATAATAACACTTCAGAGAAAGATAGCTGCTTTCCTTAGCTATTTTCATTTTGAAAACAAATTCATGACAGGAACATGGAGATTGATTGATGTTTCAAATACATTTAGAAAAATATGTTACATATGTTTTCACTCTTTCCTACGCAACAAATTTCTGACAACGAGTATCCTTGTGAATGTTTTGACAACGAATAGAACAAAACCTCATCCCACATAAACAACAATTGTAGCCTGCAATGTAACCACAAACCGAGCAGAAATGACGACGAGAAGACGAACTCGGAGGTCCAACAGCTGCTTTCAAGTAAGTCGGTACATGCGCAGGTAAAGATTCCAAATTTGCCTAAAACAAATGATTCTTAGAACCAAACTACTAATAACTGAGCTTAGCTGCAAACGAGTTAAGTTAGTTACCTCCTGCAACAGCTCAAGGAAGGATTTAGGAGCTCTACGAGCTTCTAAAGCTTTCGCTTGTCGAGTTTTACGCTTTGATCCTTTGTGTTGCTTCTTCTGTACATAACCTACACCCAAAAAACAGAGATTAAACTAAAACTATATATTCACACAGAGAGATATCTTCAAATGTGAAAGATTTATTCACCGAGATCATCGTCTTCATCGAGAGAAGCTTCGTCATCATCGTTCATATCTACCACTTCAATAGCACCATTATCATTCTCTAAAGCCTCTAGCCGAGCTATAGCAGCCTAGAATCAATCATTTTTGAAAGACGATTCAATTTTTTTTTTCCCAACACAAAAATCAAAAACTGATTCCGAAATCACCTGAGTTCGATTGTCATTGCTTGTAAGAGCCGCCGCCATCTTCGTAGCGACCTTACGAGTCCGATTTGACACTCGACGGTTCGACATCTCTTCCTCCATCCCGGAAAATGTTTAGATTGCCGGCGACGTTGGAAGCGCAGCGGCGGATTTCAGAGTCGACAGACGACGACGACGGTGACTCTTTTTAGGTTATTTTTCTTAGAAATAGTCTGATCGGCCCATTGGGCCTTTAACAAATTACTAAAGCTCTACTTGCAAGTGAAATTGTGGGGAAATGTGTAGAAAATCCCCAAAAGCCCTCACTTTTTTTTTTTTTTAGGTTTTTAAACTCTCATTTTTTTCTTAAGTGAAAACAAATCTTAATATTAATAAATTCAACTTAATTTTTTAAAAATCTTTATATTAAAACAGTTAAAAACAAAAATAATTTAATTTTTGACTGTTTTTCAAAAATAATTGTTTTTTTGCAATTTTTCTTTCTAAAATTAAGGTTATGTGCTACAAAAATTTATATATTATTTGTAATAAAATCTGTTTGGTTTCCGGTTGATAAATTTTTGTAACACAACCGAATACAATTTTAATTAATTAACTTTTTTATATCATGACTTAAAAAACTTCAATTTAGAAAATTTTTTTTTAAAAAAACTAGAATTTTAGAAGAAAAATCCTAAATCAAATTGTTTATATTTATTTATGTTTTAGTGTAAAGATTTGTTTGAATTTAAATTGAGTTTATTAATAATATGATTTATTGTACCATTTATGAAAATATAAGGGTTTAAAAATCCAAAAAAAAAAAAAGTGAAGATTTTTTATATGTTTTTTAAGAAAGGTAAATGTTTTTCTACCTATTTTCAGAAATGAAGCTGCTTCTATATTGGAATTTATTTATTACGTCGTGTATCGAATTTAGACACAACTAAAAAAAAAGCGAAACCACTGAATAATACAGATTATACAACACGATATTCAAACTAAAAGAAACCTAATCAATTGGTTTTTGATTCACACGAATCCTCAAACAAAAATTTAACCTAATCAATTATGAGAGTGAGACCAAGGAGATAAGAAACTCTTGTAATCAAACTTGCCATTCAAGAAACCATCACCACCTTTTTGGTTCCTTACTTGTTGCTGCACCACCAACACCGATCCCTCGGAGGCGAAAACGCTTCCAGCCACGGTGTCTCCGATGACTCCAAGCTGGTGGTCTTCGCTCCACGTGGATAAACCTTCAAGAATCTTTGGGTTGATCCCTTCTCTTCTTCCGGTTATCCATAGATCGTAGTCGTTGACATTCATTGCTTGGATCGCAGCCAATGTCTCAGCACCGTTTTTAACTACAACCTCTTTGTAACTAACCCTATCGTTTCCTTCGTTCTTGACCCAAAACCACGTGACTACCCCATCGTCTAGCTTCTTCTCTCTCTCATCCTCTCCTTCGTGGTTGAACGCCAAGAATCGGATCACCGTCAAGGTTACGTCCGGGTTTGTCGACATTCTATCGGCTAAATGTAGAGCTTCTCTGTTATCAGCTCCTCCTAGAAACAAAACCACGAAACGGTATGTTTCTTGTTTCATACGGCTTGAGTTTGTTGAGTGTTGTAGGTCCATGGATAACCGAACCACCGCGTTCTTAAGCCGTCCTTTGTCAAAGTAGATACATACAGAGCAAGGTGTGTGTTCCAATACGTCTGCGTTCACAGATAGCATGCCGGAGTCACGTAGCTCGGTAGGGGCAGCGTCTTCAAGACGCTCTTTCTGATAAGGTAAGAGAATGAAAGCGGCTTTTTTAGCCAAGGCCAGCTCGCAAATGTCTTGGTACATGAGACGTTTTGGAGCATGAGCGGTGTAGGCACGAAGCGATACACACTCATCTCTTTTCTCTTGGTACAACTTAAAGGCACTCTGGACTTGGTCTATTCGCCCACTTTGCGTTGTACGGTCAGGGTCTTCTTCTTCCTCCTCGTATTCTTCTTCATCCTCCTCCCTTCGCTGCTCATGGTCAATAAACAACGGCGTGGCTCTCCCTGCTAGTTCCACAAGCTGGACTGCGAATATAGACAAGGGACTACTTTTAGTGGGATAGGCGAAGTCGAGGAAAGTTATCAAGCCGGATAAGGTTTCGTGGTTGGAGACTGCAAGAACCAGTCCCATCTCGGTGTTTTGAGGAGTGTGTTGGATGGTGCGGTGTTTGCTGCTTCGGTATGGCCGAGTGGGATCGTAGAGAAAGCTGATGAGCGGCGTCGATACGGCCGTGACTACAACCGAATGCAAAACCATGACAGTGAAACCTGGAAAGCCCACAATACGTTTATCGATCCAATGCAAGTAGACCAAGATATCCATCTGGCCTCTCAAGTTCATCATCAACCCAAGCGTGAGACTGTCCCTAGCGGGGACTTTGAAGAAGAGAGCAGTGGCAGCGGTAGAGAGAAACTTACTGAAGAAGCCGACGAGGGTCATGTAGAAGAGAGGAGAGAGCTGATCACGCCATGTCTCATCTCTAAAGTAGTGAATATTGGTGCCTTGTCCCACCAAAGCATAAGAGAAAGGCATCAAAAATTCATAGATGAAGGTCTCGCTCCGAACAGCCAACGTCGAACCCAACGGTGGGCCATGAGGGACCAGCAACCCTAACCAAATGGGTCCTACGGCTATAGAAAGACCGAACATGTCGGTGAGGAAACAAGAGGCAAGGACACCCATGAGAATCATGACAATGTAGTTTTGGTTCACAAGTGTTCCTTCAGGCGTTTGGGCAACAATCCAATCAAAGGCTCGTCTAACAACCAAAAGCATAAAAGCCGCGAAGATTACCACCGATACTAGAAACCAAAAGAGAGCATATGCTCCTCCTCCGTCAGCCTGCGTCATGGCTTCAAAAATAACAATCACGTAGACCCCTGCCATGTCTCCAAGGAGAGCCACCGACATGGCGAACTTGCCCACCTCGGAGTTAAGAAGGTTCATGTCTCTCAAAACAGAATAAATGACAGGGAAAGAGGTGAAAGCCAAGGCGAACATGATCCCCCCAATGGACGAAGGCTTCTTCAAGTTTTCATCCATTTTATCTCGCATGGCCATCCCCACGGCTCCCACGCAGATAATTGGCACGATAACACCAATGGCAGCAATGTACTTGTGCTTTCTTGGTGCTCTCCCAATGGATGCAACATCCGTCTTCGCGGCCGTGAGGAAGAGGAAGTAGAAGAATCCCATTAGTCCTATGTTTGCGCATATGTAGTTCGCGATCGGTGGGAACAGATAGTAATTGAAATTTCGGCTTCCTCCAAGCATTGATGGTCCTATCATCATTCCACCCTTCAAACACACAAAACACATTACGTCCATATTAGCTCCAAAACGGATTTTATCAACTACAAAAAGAAGCAAATATAAGATCGGTGACGAACAATGATCTCGCTGACTATACGAGGTTGGCGAAGAGGTCGAAGGACGAAACTAACGAATTTGATGCAGAAAATGATGATGATTGCTTCGATTAAAAAAGTCGAAAATGCATAGTTCATCGCATTTTCGCCTTTGAACATTCCAAACGGTTGCTTACTATGAAGTTGCCGGCATACCACCGGAAGTTTGGGAGAGAAGACACGACTAGTGACCTCTCCCGGGGTGGTTGAATTACCCGGCCAAAACCCAAAATGGGTAGGCAGGACACTCTGGTCGTCATTGATGGGGAAATGCCTAACCATGCAAACTAATCTTTCATATCAAGATTTGACGTAAAACAAACGATAATGATCTTCGATAGAGAGAGAATACGATAGATCCAAGAGAAGACGATAGATCCATGACTGATGTTTTTTTCAACAGATGTGGACGTGCGTCATTTCGGGAACAATTTTAGTCTTTCGCTTACTCTTCATTTTCTTCATCATCACTATTTTTTTTTATTAATTTTTATTCGTATTAGTTTATCAAATGAAATAAAACATATATGTTTTGCGGTATTTACGTCACCATCTATATTTTTCACTCCTTAAGAACGCCTATTTTTAGCATAGTTAAACTAGCCAACGAAAGTGAACCTCTCGGATTTGTTTTCTTTAACATTTCTTAAGAACCAATTATACTTTTTTCTTCTTTTTTTTTTTTTTTTTTCAACGATATTTGTACTCTGCTGAGTATAACTTAATTTTTTTTTCTCCGTATATTAAACAATATACGTTAGCCAAAAAACACTAAAACATAAACGTAGAAATTGAATACTACTGATTTTTCCTAGATTTCTTTACTTTCTTTATACCTTTTGAACCTCGTTTAGCTTTTGTATTTTCTCAATACAAGACATGTAAAAAGAATAATTCGTAGTTAAAAAGCAATATGGCATAGGAAGACTTAATTGTTGTGACATTTTATCAGTTCTAATGATGTCCGCAACTCATTCTTTGGGGAATTGATTTGTTCTTCTAAATTTTTGAGCTGATTTTGGTAATGGTAGAACATGCAAACATAACCACATATGGGATCACATTCATGAGCCTCCGTTTGGTAACACAAAGCGTTTACAACAATTTTACGTTGTGGAAGTTATTAAGAAGAATCTTAAAAATATTATCTGTTCCCGATATTTTGTGAAGGCTTTTAAACATTTCGAGATTAGTCGACGGGAAATATGGCGCAAATATGCAACTGCGTTTCATGATCATGCATGCAGAGCAACGATTTTCTTGTTGTTTTCTCGCCTAATAACTCTTAACAAAAAAAATCTGAGAAAACAATTATCCATATAAAATTTTAATTTATGCAAATATGTATCTATTAACAAAAACTATATAAGATTTTCATGTTTTTCCTCGAGAATCTTGAATATTTTGATGTCGTGAAAGAATGAAGATGTTGTAAATGTGGTTGATGTTCTATAATGAGAAAAAAAAAAAATTATAATTATCATATAATATTTGCTTTTATTTAATTAGAACTTCCTCTAAATTATAAACTCAATCCTTTTGTTTGATTATTAGAAAAAAAAAAGACTAGAAGCAGGCAACTTGTGTCCACAACCATGAATGCTTTGTTCTAAAACTCCCGACCTTTCTTCTTCCCCATGCGAAAAAACAACATTACGGTTGAATAAATTTCTCGTAAAAGTAAAAGAAAAAAAAAAAAAAGTAATGATTCTTTGTTTTTTTTTTTGGGTGCAAAAGTAATGATTCTAAAATCCAACTCTGTATGTAGACTTTATGCATGAGAAGTGTCATGTTCGGTTCATTGATCACTTCATATTTTAATTTAAATAAACTATTAAAGAAAAGCTAATTATATCAACAAGTTACAAGATTTTCTTGGAAAATGTTAGAATTTAAGATCATTTCCAAAATATGTTTGGACCTTTCGCCTTCGTCTTCCTTTATAAGTAGACCAAACTAATAGTGAGAGATCACTTCAGAGTTGTCTTCTTCGTCTCTTGCCTTGTCTTCTAAAAAAAATTATTTTCTTGTCATTCTATTTTCTTGCCTTGTAAACCAAGTTACGTATTTGGGTTATTTTCAACGTAACTCAGGATAGTTCTTGCTATTGCTTCGATGAATAATCTCATAGAAAGACGAAGGGCCATGGACCATGATTATGAGAAAACAAGTCTGGTCGATAGAGTATTTTTGGTCTATCAAAGATATTCTCAATAGAGATCTCCACAAGCACAAGGTTTTGTTCTCTTCTAAAACTTTCTTCGATATATAGCTTTGAACTTTGGTATGTTTATACGTTATATTCCTCACCAATTGTATATTTTGTAACAGATGAAGACAATACCAGACAGGTTTAGATCTGTTGATGAATACCTTCAGTGTTTTGTTCCTCATCTACTTGAGGAAACACGGACCGAGTTGTTTTCTAGCTTCAAATCTTTATCAAAAGCTCCTGTCTTTCAAATATGTTCCGTGGAGACAAAGGAAGCAAGTGGAAGCTCATCAAACAAGTTCTTCTACGATATAAAAATAAGTAATGCATTGGGTACTATTGGTGCAAACTATCAGCCAAAATGTGGAGATCTTATTGCTCTAACAAAGGAAAGGCCAAGACGAATTGATGTCTTGAATCCTTTACTTCTCGCCTACGTTTCCTCGGACTATGATCTTATAATCTCTGTTCATTCGTCTAGATCGATATCTTATCATGAACTGAACCACCAACTCGAGGAGACTTCACTTCAGTTTGGTGTTTTCCTCATGAATTTAACAACGAACACTCGAATTTGGAATGCTTTGCACAACGAAGCTGCCAATTCAACTCTAATCAAGAGTGTGCTTCAGGAAAATACTCTGGTACGTGATACCAATAATCTTTTAATCTTTTTTTTTAAAATAATCTTTGTAGCAAATTCATAAATCCTTTTTTTTTTTTTTTATGTTTTTGTAGCAAATTCATAAATCTTTATTTATGTTTTTGTAGCATATTCATAAATCTTTATTTTATGTTTATGTTGCAGGCAACAGAACAATATGTTTGTTGTGCAAATGGTGCTGATGGTTCTGACCGTGTTTCGGATATAATCCGTTCTGCGAAACTGAACTCTTCCCAAGAAGCTGCAATCTTGAGCTGCCTTAAGACAAGGAACTGTATTCACAAGCACAGTGTGAAGCTGATATGGGGACCTCCTGGTACTGGCAAAACAAAGACGGTCGCAACTCTTCTCTTTTGCCTTCTCAAGCTAAAGTGCAAAACAGTTGTGTGTGCTCCTACAAACACAGCTATTGTAGAAGTAACATCGAGGCCCATGTCCTTATTTAAGGAAACTTCTTCACCAGAACATTCTACTTATGGGCTGGGGAATATTGTTCTCTCTGGAAACCGGGCTCGAATGGGGATTAAAGAGAATGATGTTCTTCTCGATGTGTTTCTTGATGAGCGCATTGGAATACTCGCTAACCTGTTTTCACCAACTTCTGGATGGAAGCAGAGATTAGAGTCACTGATCAACTTTCTTGAGAATACAGAGGCCAAGTACGAGCATTACGTCGACTTATTGAAAGAAGTCGAAACAATGAGGGAAGAAGCTGAAAAGAAGGCGAAAGCCGTAAAGATTCTTACATTTGGAGAGTTTGTAAAGAAGACTTTTGATGGCTTCAGTGAAGAGTTGGAGAAAAATATTGTTGATTTGTACACTCATCTTCCCAAGTCTTTCGTTTCGTCTGAACAAGTGGAGAGTATGGTCGCAGCTCGTCAAGTTCTTCAGCGCGTAAGATATTTCTTGCAAGAGAATTTTTCTAGATATGATCTCAAGAAGGGAGGTTTCAAATTTGATTGCTTTAAAAGAATCAGTGCTGATTGCGTTCAGACTCTACGTTTACTTCCGCAACGTTTTGAGATTTCAGACTTGTTGGAAAACAAAGATACAAAAACATTTTGTCTACAGAATGCAGATATAATCTTCTGCACAGCATCAGGTGCTGCGGATATGAATCCGGTAAGGACAGGATCGATCGACCTTCTTGTGGTTGATGAGGCGGCTCAGCTTAAAGAATGTGAATCAGTTGTGTTGATGCACGAATCACACAAGTACGAAATAGGGTTTCTCTGGGGAAGTAAAAAGAATCTCCCAAAACAATTCGAGCCGAGAGTTCAAATGGCGTTAGGCGAACCGAGATTGATGACTTCGGATTAAGGATTCCTGGTCGTCGATGAGGCCGAACTGAATGAAGATTGAGGTCGCTTTTCCGAGCTGAATGAAGATTGAGGTCGCTTTCTTTTTCTAGATTGAGATCGGTCTTCGTGTCCTAGCCGAGTTCTTTGTATCCTTGCCGAGCTCTTCGCGTCCTTGCCGTGTCAGCGTCTTTTTCGATGGATGTGACAGGACTAGTCGTCCTGCTTTTATAACCCTGCGGAATAGGGCGTACCCTGACAGCTTTTACCGGTTTTACCCCTTGGGTCCGGTGACGTGGCAGGCCCGTAAGGCGGCGAGGTCGTCTGGGCTTTGATGCTTTTGGGCTTTAAGGCCTGCTCCGTTGATGGGCTTTAAGGCCTGCTCCGTTGATGGGCTTTCTTTCTTGGATTGGGCCTTTATACTTCTAAAGCCCAATCTCTCCCTCAACAGTTGCCCCCCAATCATGACTCATCGTTTTTTGCGAGGGTCATGATTGTTTTTCTCCTTCCCAAGAGACGCAAGAGGTCGCCTCTCTCCGCGTCGTTTCGGATTTACGAGTTTCGGCGACGCGCGCGCGTGGGAGAGACGCGAGAATCGATTCGTCTGACGTTGCTCCCGATGTTTGGAGGTCGAAGCGTCCCTTCGCGTGTGAAGCTATCTTAGCTCGTAATCATTGCTTAATTTCGTAGGTATAATGATTATTTATCACCTTCCACTTCTATAAATACTTCCTCTTCTCTCGTCTGTTTCTCATTCTTCTTCCTCTGCTAAAGGTATAATCTTCTCCTTTCTATTTCGTTTTCTCTCGCTTTATCTCGTTTTTTTTTTGGTTTTATTGCGATGTCTTCCGACGCTAGTTCTCACGGTTCTATCTCCGACCACTTCCGTTCTCGTACATCGTCTGATTCTACGGGTCGTATATCATCCGTTGATCGATTCCGAACCAATTCTTTTGATGACGACCTGGAGTCCAACTCGTCCCCTCGTCGACAGAACTCGTCGAGGTCGTCTGACGCCGGTTCCTCGATTCTCGCGGCCGAACTGCAACGTCGCGATTCGCCCTCTCAACGGGATCTTGTCGGGGCTACCTCGATCGTTCCATTCGTTCCTAGTTTCCGAGATGAGGATATTGGTGATGTCAAGTTTGACGATCTGGAGGCTGAGCCTGAGCTCGTTGAGATGCCTTTCGGGGTTCCCGAACCGTCTCCCTATCATGTTGACTTCCTGGGGCCGACCCGGACGTCATTTGAGACCCTCGCGTATACCCTCCATTACTGTGACGCTCCGTCCTTGATTGAAACTCGCATTTCGGCTTTATTCGAGCGACCTTGGTCCGCTCCGGCCGGCTTCCTCTGTGTTTATGAGAGTTTCTTTACGGAATGCGATCTCACTTTTCCGATTCCGGGCTTCCTGCTTGAATATTTAGCGAGGCGGGAGATGGCTCTTTCTCAGCTTTCTGTTGCTGCCATCCGGAATGCGGTAGGCCTGGTTCGGCTGGCGAGTAGGTGCAGCGTGGTTGTTCGTTCTTCTCATTACGAGGAGGTGACTAAGATTAAGAGCCTCAGCAAGAAAAAGCCGGGCTTACACTACGTTCAGTCATCCACGACTCCTAAGCTTGTCGACGAGGCCAAGAGCAAAACTAGTGACTGGTCGGCGGGATACTTCTTTGTTAGGATTTCGGCAGAATCTGTTGAGGACGTTAGAATTCCGATCTATACAGGGTGGAAAATTTCACCCGGTAGCTTGAGCTCGTCTTCCGCCCTCACACTTCTTCTTTGGTTGTTTTCGATTTTCTTATATCTTCTTTTTTTTTATGCAGCTCGTTTCCCGACGATATTTGATCCATTTCCCGAGCAGCTCAAGAAGGATCTCGAAAAGATTCGCGCCGAGGGTACGTATATCTGGCCGTCTACTAACAAGGTTGCTCGCCGCCCCTCTTGGAATCCTTCACGCGGTCGCCGAGGTTCTTCTCGTCGAGGGCCAATTCGTCAAAGTTCCAAAGTTTCCGCTCCATCAAAACCAGGTATCACATATATCGTTCGCCTCTGCGGGTTTTCGTTCCCTTGGCTCATATATATTTTTTTTTCTTTTTTGATTTTAGGTCGTAAAGCAATGGGTAAGTTCGACCTGGTGTGGTTCCGGATTACGCCAGTCGTTACAAGGAGAAGAGGCCGGCCACGGAGACTCCTGTGGCAAAGCCTACTCGCTCAGAGGAGCGACAAATGAGGGAGGCCCTGAAGAAGAGTCTCTTAGATCAAGGAGGGCGTCACGCCTTCTAGGCCGGAAGTTCTCGACCGTTGAGCCCTAACTCCGAGAGGGTAAAGAAGAACGAGATGCTCGCAGCTCGTTCAACTCAGCAGGCTGGTGGAGGTGACCGAGCTGTAATCCTTCCCCCAAGTGACGATCTTCGGGCCGTAGAAGCCCGGAGTGGCTCAGTCGAGCCTCTGAACAGGAAGAGGCCGGCTGATACGGGAGCTCGTCCGATTGCCCAGAAGAGGCCTTGGGTCGCCGACCACCGGTGGTCGTATCGCTATGTTGATAGGGATGTTCCCTTTACATCTAATGCTGACGCCTGTGCTGCTCTATTCCGCGAGATGGGTCATGGCCCCGGCTCGTTCCCTCTAATTGAGGATCTTCGAGAGCGGGATGCGTATACCGAGGCGGCCAGGAAATCATGCGAGGTTATTACTATATATATGTGCATATATATTTTTGTTACCCTTCCTCGGTCGATTGTTTATATATATTTTTATCAGGCGACTTTCGCGATGAACCGCATGGTTCATCTCTACGAGCGCCGAGTTCGTCGGCTTTCGACCGAGAACCCAAATTCGAGTGATTATCAGACTGCCATTGCTGCGGAGAAGGAGCGGGTAGATCAAGTCTCGCGAGAGTTGGGTGCTGTTAAGGACGAGGCGGTGAAGCTTAGGGAGAAGGTCAACCTTCTCGATCATCACCGGAATGGGCTGATTGCGGAGAGGGACCGTTTGAGCGCCGAAGTGGAGGCAGAGAAGGCTCGGTATGACGAGCTCGCTGTGATCCTCCGCTCCGAAAAGGCTAGACTGCGAGAACGTCGTGCTGAGTACGGCGAGTACTGTAGAGGTAAAGCTCTTGCGAAGATGGCCCGGCTGTTTCAGGCTCGTCTCACCCGTCTACAGGCTCATGTTGAGGATACCCGTGCCGCGCAGCCCACTCTTCTGCTTTACAACCAGGCAGTCGGGAACCTTGGTTTTCTGAAGGCTCTAGTGGAAGACGGCGAGGTCGTCATTAAGTCGGAGGAAACGCTTTCCAGGGTTGAGGCCGACGTGGCGCAGTACAGAGCTGATCTTGCGGCCTTCGACGTGACTGAACTTCAGGATGGCGATTTTGACGCCTATACCCTCTTCGCGGACCGGAACGAGGTTACTGAGAACCTTCAGTATGCCGCTTCGGCTGCCAGTGGAAGGGACTTCGTCGGAGATGACGAGGTCGAAGAAGATGCCGTTAATCAGGACACTCAGCAGGAGGTCGCAGTTGAAGCTCGTGAGACCGGGGCCGAACTACAGGATGGTGGTGGTTTTGGGACCGAGGCCACAGGCGCTGAGCAGACTGGCGACGGCCAGGAGGTTCCGCGGGTGGCTACTCCGTTAGCTCAGGTTGTCCAAGACGGGGAGGACATTGATATCGAAGGCTGACCGCGAGGTCGTTTTTAAAGTTGTCGTTTTGCCGCTTTTGACGACTTTTTTTTTATCTAGTCGCCGCTTTGTCGGCTTTTGAACACGTGCCGTTAACTCGGTTTTTAGCTTTACTTTTGCTGGGTCGGTTTGTTTGAACATGATTGCCGCTAGGTCGGCTTATTTTATGTGGTTTTCGCCATTTATTTCTTCTTTTCCTTCTTTTATTTTAGCCTGTTCTTCAGGGGTCGGCTCCTGTGTAGGACGGGACGCGGCCGGTTTCTGTGTAAACCTGGTCGTGATCGGCTTGGTGCGAGTTCACCAAGCTGATGCGAGGCCTAGGTTACTTTGATTGTTGGTAGGCTTGATCGGTTGGGAATTTGTGAGTCTGTCCTCGGCCTATACGTTTATTCTGTCGGTAAGATGCAAGTGCTGGACTTGGCTTGTGCGAAGTTTTACCTACTTCGGCTTTTCCGAGTTTGCTCGGAGTGTTCGAGACGGGCTCGAGACATCGTGAGGTGCGACGCGCGGTGATCGGCTTACCCTGTATTGGCCTGATAAATCTTTGGGAGTGCGGGTTCGTCCCCGGCTTATGCTACCCAGTTTATCGAGGCTTTGCGAGTACGGAGCTCGGCTTTCAGACCCTTAAGTGTAGGTTTTTTCCAAGACTTTTTTACTTGTTTTGGCAGACTTAAGTAAGGGTGTGCGTTCTCGTTCGAACGTGTTCGATCGAATTGCCTGGCCAGGGTATCGATGTATATTTCGGTTCGGTTGTATTTCAAAATTAGATGGAAATACAAAATTTTATTAATATCATAGCTGCGCCCTGCAAGCAGGGCTGCCTACGTACCCTCTGATCGGAGGGATCAAGCCGTTCGTAGTTCACATTACATAGAGAGGCATCGGTAAGGCCGAGCTACCTTTTTTTTTTTTTTTTTTTTTTTTTTTTTTTTTTTTTTTATATATAAGGAGAGCGAGGTCGTCAGTAGTAGTATCGCTTGAGGTGCATGGAGTTCCAAGTTCGTGGGACTTCGGTGCCGCTCATGGTGAGGAGTTCGTAGTCGCCGGGGCGAACTATCTTCGAGACTTGGTACGGCCCTTCCCAGTTTGCTCCTAGTTTGCCGGCGCCGAGTTCAGCTGTATTTTCGAAAACTTTCCTGAGTACGAGGTCGCCGACGTCGAAGTGGCGGTTGTGTACTTTCTTGTTGTAGTATCGGGCGGCAGCAAGCTGGTAGTTCTGAACTCGGCATAGTGCGGTGTTGCGCATTTCCTCA